CCCCCACCCCTTCCAACCTCCCCATGGCCTCAACCACACCTTCTAACCTCATCATGGGCCCCACCACACACCTTCCAACCCCACCATGGCCCCCACCACACCTTCCAACCACACCATGGCCCTCACCATGGCCTCAACCACACCTTCTAACCTCATCATGGTCCCCACCACACCTTCCAACCCCACCATGGCTCCTACCACACCATGGGCCCCACTACACCTTCCAACCCCCCAATGACCCCCTCACCTTCCATCCCCAAAATTGCCTTCCACCACCACTTCCAACCTCACCATCACCCTGCCACCACAACTTCCATTCCCACCATGGGCCCCAACCACACCTTCCTTCCCCAACATTAGCTTCCAATCTCAGCACACCTTCCATCTCCACCATCACCCCGCCACCACACCTTCTATTCCCACCATTGCCCTCCACTACACCTTCCATCCCATCCAGAGTTTCTGCCCACAAAAAATACTTGGATTTTTTTAAACTTCTTATATCCCACCCATGTTTTCCACCATCTCTTATAGCCCCCAAATCATTTTTTTTAACCAATTGCTGTATCTCATATTCATTCATCTCAAACTATACCTAAAACTAATACTTTTTTTTTCTTCTTGTTTTGGATACAATGGTGAGGGGTTAGAAACCAGTGAGCAGTCTTTGTCCCTCTTAGTGAGATTTATGCTCTGCTCTAGTCGGCATAATGAAAACCAGCGAGATATCACTTCTCAGTTCGCGCGGTTAGGGTCTGGAACTCGCTGCCTCAAGCAGTGATTTCCGCGAATAGTCTGGAATCATTCAAGAAGCTCTTGGACGATTTCCTGAGAGACCGTAATGTACAGGGGTACAGGTACTCTTAAGAATGAGAACACTCAGGGACCTATACACACACACAATAAAGTTGGACTTGATGGACTTATGTCTTTATTCAACCTCAAATACTATGTAACTGTCACTAGAAATTGAATAAAGTAAAAGTAGGGAAACTTGTTCCAGTGACTAACAGTCTAAAAAGGATTTCCTTCACATCTCCAACTCCTCTTGTACCTACAGAACAAGTGAAAGAAAATCTGCAACATGGAACACAGAAGAAAAAAAACCTTATTTAATCTATCCAAGAATAAAAAATAATAATAAAGTTTTGGCTTTAGATATACTTTATTCTTATATCTGGCTACTTATCCATCTTTGTACTGATCCATGTAATAGCTCTATTTGGAGGCCTCAGCTATTTGATTTCTTAGCACAGGAAAGGGTCGGAGTTAGAGAGGGAGCTGAGCCCTTGTCATAAGTGAAGAGGAGGCGAGCGAGGAGGGGGGGCAGCGTTGTCTGGCTGCCAGAAACGGGACTTTGCTTTCTCCGAATAAAACAGCTGAATAACTAGAGGGTTTTATTTGCCAATAGAGAGGAAATTGCGTTTTTAATAAGAGCTCCATTCACGTCCCAGACATCTCAAAGAAGAAGCTCTTGGTTTAATCACTCCGGCTAATGGCAGACAGGCTGTCCCTTTCATTAGCGGTTGAGGTCACCCAGAAAGCCCCTTCGGAGACACAATAGGTCCAAAGGCGGCACTTGATGATTTCATAATCTGTGTCATGCTTTCTCAAACAGCAGGGAGACGGGTTACAAGGGCCAGATTTCCCCCGCTGAATCACATTAAGCTCCTCTCGCGGTTTACTGACACACAGAGACAGGAAGAGCAGATAGAGATCTCAGCAGTCCAACAGCTCCGGACACCTGTTCCCATCCGCCGCGGCTCCTCGCCATCGGATCCCCATTTAGGAACGGTGCTGCTTTTGTTTGTGAGGTTACATAAACTGCTGTCTGTTCGCTAATTATTTCACTGACATCAGGAATGGTGTCCTGCCAGGGGACAAACTACTGGCGCTGTTGTGTCAATACATTACTACCAAAATATTAAAGGGCCTATTTACACTATTGCATTAAAGTAATGCATGCATTAAAGCAATGCACATTACCAGGGCCATCCCTACAATGAGGCAGCCAGAGGTGGTGGCCTCAGGCGGCACCCGTTTGGGGGGACACCAAGTGGGGATGGTTTGTGGTGGGGGGCAGCCACAGCGTCCCAGGTTTCTAAGAGCTCTTAGCAACCTATGACACTTTGTCTGGCATCCTGATTAGCTCACAGACGCCACTGGGTTGGGTCCTGCCGAGCTCCTGGCAACCAATGGCATCAGTGAACTGGGTGGCATGCAAGACAGAGCCGCTGACCGAGCTTGTTAGGGTGCGTTAGTAGCCCATTCATTTTATTGGGCTGCCTTAAAGCAAAGCATGCCAATGTGAGACATAAATGCCCGTTAACACATGTATCAATTCAAGTGTATGTGAACCTTAATGAACTTATTGGCTCCCTTTTGGTCTGCTAAATTTACCACCATGGCCCCCATGACACCTTCCAACCCCACCATGGCCCCCATGACACCTTCCAACGCCACCATGGCCCCCATGACACCTTCCATCCCCACCATGGCCCCCATGACACCTTCCAACCCCACCATGGCCCCCATGACGCCTTCCAACCCCACCATGGCCCCCATGACGCCTTCCAACCCCAACATCACTCCACTATTGTTACACCACCACCACACCTTCTATCCACTGTTAAATATACCAATGAAAGTGTTCTTATATCTGATAAGGGCAAGAAACCAGTGAGCTGATAATCTGTGCTAAACTTATCACCTACATTGTTCTCTTTGGGGATTACAGAACCACCCAACCCCGTGTTATGTAGATCAGAAGGTGCAAGTAGCTGGTCTTGCCTAGGGCGCAAAATGTCTAGCACCAGCCCTGACCATAGGGCGGGAAATGTATTACTGGCAGGGTAATCAGGTGAAAATAAAGGGAGTGGGAAGGGGCAACATGTGAAAAAAAGGAACAGTGCAGCCATTACATCTAAGCTGCAGTAACAAGTTCTATACCGTGATGCACTTACCTTAATTCCCACGTTCGTATTGTGTAAATCCACGCGGGCTCGGAGGTCCCTGTCGGACTTTTTCCCCAGGAACTCCTTTACAAACTTGTTGCTGTATTTCAGGTTGTCCCCGCAGCCTCCCCACTGCCAGGCCTCCCTGTTCTCCAGGTCTGGAGCCTCATCGCATGTGCAACGCTCCATCCTGCCCGCGCTGCACGCCTTCGCCATGGCATGTGTTAGCCCCGCTGAGGAGATGGCATAAAGGAACGCCGTTTCCTTAAAACCTGCAAAGGGAGGAGAGGGTTAGGCTGATTTAATATGATTGCTTATAACATCAAATAGGAAGAAAAATGAAACTGCTGCATTTTTGCTACAATAGAACATAAAGCTGTGATTGGCTGTAGACTGGATTAGTCCTTTTATTGTAATATTTTCCCTGGACAGCTTAAAGCAATATTTGGAGAGCTGCATTCCTTTGTAATAAGTATACACACGCACACAGGTATAGTTAGTGTTACATGCATTACTGTTCTGTGCTTGCCAGACACTACATCTGAAATACATATTGTTTTTTTTACTGTTCTCCACTACAACACACGGGTGGAAACTGGCCTCCGCTACAACACATGGGAGGAAACTGGCCTCCTCTACAACACACGGGTGAAAACTGGCCTCCGCCACAACACACGGGTGGAAACTGGCCTCCGCCACAACACACGGGTGGAAACTGGCCTCCGCCACAACACACGGGTGGAAAATGGCCTCCGCTACAACACAGTAAAAAAAATTGGCCTCCACTATAACACATAGATGAAAAGTGCACTACTGAAATTAATGGCAGTGAACAATGCTCAACATTCTTTAGCTTTATCACAGAAAAAAACCCATCAAGAAAGTCAAATATGAACTTCCAGGACAAACCATATTCGCACTGCATCTTTGGGGCAGTGGTCGTTTGTGGGCTCACTTTGGTTTGCGGTATGAGCATTTAAACACAGTGACCGAGGAATTGTAGTAATGGGGCTTCGGGCTCTCTAGTATCATCTCACGTTGAATACTAGAGACATAGCCCGATACAATGTACATTAGTATATTTCTAGGCTGAATTCTCCTTCAATTAACCTTTTAGTGTGTTCAACAGTTACACTTTATTATTACTCTGGGCTCTTCTGTAGCTCTAAATGATGACGGGACCAGCCGGTGCTAGGGAACAAGTTAACCAAAGGGAAAAGTTAACTAAATTGTGATCTCAGTCACTGAAGTGGAACAAGATCACAGGGACTCATTTGCCGGGGTCACAGGTCAGCGTGGATACACAGACACCGCTCTGGGAGACTGAGGAGCCATTATGGGCTTACAGCACTAAAGACTTAAAACGGGTTATAGCCAAGAAAATCTTTCATCAAGAAGAAACAAAGATCTGAAAAGAAATCCCATTTTTAAAAAAATATTTAAAAAATATAATAATAATACAAATAATAAAAGTCAACAACCAAAATAAAAAAAGAAGTCACAAATAGAAATCCAAAAAGTAAATTAGATATATAGAAAACAAAAAGAAACATAGCACACACAACTGCTATACAACCTCAGCAGACTTCTCTGTACAAAGCTGGAAAGTTCTAGACAATTTTACTATTTGATTTTTGGTCTCTGGTTTACAGTTTTGTGTATCTTTATTTTTAATAAGCACACAAAATTGTAAAATGGACACCTGACAATTTTCAGAACAGGGTATTTTACCTAGCTGCCTCCTCAATTACACAGCAACTCCTGGCTGTCATTTTGACAGTCAGGAATTGCCAGCAAGTACAGAAGCTGAAGAAGCTGCTACTGTTAAAAAATGGACCAGCCTGTCACAGGGTTTATAAACATTGATCAGAGGAAGATAGAGAGATACAAAGTAACATTGTTCATAAACATTGATCATACAAAGTAACATTGTTCATAAACATTGATCATACAAAGTAACATTGTTTATAAACATTGATCAGAGGGGAGATAGAAAGATACAAAGTAACATTGTTTATAAACATTGATCAGAGGAGATAGAGAGATACAAAGTAACATTGTTTATAAACATTGATCAGAGGGGAGATAGAAAGATACAAAGTAACATTGTTTATAAACATTGATCAGAGGGGATAGAGAGATACAAAGTAACATTGTTTATAAACATTGATCAGAGGGGATAGAGAGATACAAAGTAACATTGTTTATAAACATTGATCAGAGGGGATAGAGAGATACAAAGTAACATTGTTTATAAACATTGATCAGAGGGAGATAGAGAGATACAAAGTAACATTGTTTCTAAACATTGATCAGAGAGAGATAGAGAGATACAAAGTAACATTGTAAAGCTGGCCATTTTCTCTTGTTCAGGCCCGCAGCTGAATGAGAAAGAATGTTCGACTTCCTCGTCCATGCGAAACCATGTTTTTTCCCCTCTCAAATTAACTTTGTTCATTTCTTCATTTAACTTATCAGTCCTGATTGACAAGTGATTATAATGTCTTCCTTATATTGTAAAGTGCTGCGCAAACTGTTGGCGCCATATAAATCTTGTATAATAATAATAATATACACACACGGTTATCCCAAGTCAGCATTTCGCAAACCTTTTCAGTCACAGCGCCCTTTAAAACTATGCAAAATCTTGAGGCACCCCAGTCTAAAATGTAATGGATTTTAAAGGGGGGGGGGGGGAAAAAATGCCAAAAATACAAAAAAAAGGTTCCCCCCTTCACATCAAAGTCCTGCCTTCAAATTAGGGGCTCCCCTTCACATCAGAATCCTCATCTTTCTCATCAGAGTTCACCCTTCACATCACAAGGCTGCTTTTATAATCAGAGTTCCCCCTTTTACATCAGAAGCCCCCTCCACATTAGAGTCCTCAGTTCTATGCTCTTAAATTTTCAAGGCACCCTTGAGGAAGCCAGAAGGCACCCTGGTTGGAAAAGGCTGTAGTTCTAGCCGACCTGTGACAATGAGACTGTAGTAGCTCAGTAGTTTGGGAGGTGAGCGAACACATACCGGCGTTTGCTCACCTCTCGATCCTGTCACGGCTCTCTGCTTCCCCCCTACCCGCTCCGATCCGCCAGCGCTGACTGGTGGATCGCACGGGGGAGGGGGCGGGTACAGCTGGCTCTGCCTCTAGGCAGAGCCAGCTGTCAGTCACGCAGCTGGGCGGATCCCGGCACAATTGTCGGGATCCGCTTCAGCTGCGGCGTCTCGGTATACCGCAAGCAGCAGCTCGCGGTATACTGCGGCGTCTCCGTATAGCCTAGGGTGACGGGAGGACGCTAGTTTGTGTCCTCCTGTTACCCTAAGGAGAACTATGGGGAAAAGACTTAACCCCATAGTTCTCCTTTAACCTTTCCGAGCCTCCTGATTGCCTTAGTTACCAATCTATAATATAAAGAGGACCAACAAGGAGGTTATGGAGGTAACACCTGAGCTAGACTTTTACCATGTGAGATCTTCTATCACCGGGCTAACGTTGGATCCAGTGATCATTTGAACAGTTTTCACAAAGACAAATCCATGCATTTTATTTTCATAATATAACCCAAGTCTGACTTTCCCAGGATTTTGACCTGTTTGAAGGCAGTATAGCATGTACCCACATCCCTACACAAAGCCAACTTTGGTCCTCTTGACCCCCAGAAGTACCCCAGGTGTCCTTTTTTGGTGCTTCCTTTGACCTCCACGGTTAGCTTACATAAAAGCAATGCAAAAATGTCAGATATCTTCGAGAGCGTACAGGAAATGCACGCCTAGGTGTGAATGTCAATAGCAGCTCCTTCACACAATGCATTAGGTAATGTTCCTTTTGTTTAGGGCTATAGTGGCCCTGAAGTACTCAATGGAGTACCTGTCACTTTCGCTGTCTGCGCTGTGACGATGTCGGGAGGAGTATATACGCAGGCCAAGTCAAGCAAGGAGAGCCGCTCAATGCATTTCTCATGGGTCAGTTGGGAAGGAGCAATCCTTGTTTGTATGTCAGCAATTAACTTGTCCGGGTCACAAAGTCATTGCTGAAGCAGATTACTGGTGAACCCTGCAATGCGCAGCAATTATTCAGCATCATTAAGGGCATACGGCCCTCAGGGCTCAGGGATAATACATTTACAAACTTCAAGGGGAACTGCAACTATAAAAACAACAACAAGCCATAAAAATAACTACTTTTGAGATTTATAAATGCTTTTTATTTCCGTATTAATAACCACACCAGACAATGAGCTAGATTTTCCCAATTGTTACAAAATTCTCTATGCCGAGGACCACATGCCACATCCTGCCCAAAATCCAACGTGTACAATTGCATAGTATCCCGTCATTAACATTTCAAGGCTGGATGATTAAATTGCTGAGATGTCACAATACAGGCGGTGCCTGGGTTACATACAAGATAGGGACTGGAGGTTTGTACTGAAGTTGAATTTGTATGTAAGTCGGAGCGGGTACATTTTTTAAGTGTAACTCCAGATAAAAAAACAATTTTCTAGTTTTGGATAGCATAGGGAAGGGTTACATTTGTTTTGCTCTCTGTTCCCGTTGTACAGAAGATTGTAATGTAATTTAAAAAAACTTTTATTTAAAATGACACCAAAAAAGTTTTTTCTATTTTTAATTTTATTTTATAAACTATTTTTAATTTTTATTTATTTAACTTTTTTTTTTTTTTA